ATCTGGCCCGCAGTAATGCCTAGAAATAACAACTGCTGTAACTCTTAAATTTAAGTACATATAGTGCCACATAGCAGAGTGGATCAAAGCTTCCAACTCGTATTATCCTATATCTCCACTATCTCGGATAAAGAGGGGTTTGGATATCCCAGAAAAAGAGAAACAATAATACATTTACAACAGGTTGATCTGAAATGACAATACAGAGTCATCTGCAGAGTTCCAGAGTGCCATACTTTTGGAATTGGCCCCACATATATTTATAGAAATACAATTGAATTAATGTTCTATTCTGTCGTATCGGTCTGTTCCCCAACAGATAGCTGAGGAAAAAATTACTCCAGACAAACACAATGCAACTATTCCTGTTGGAAGATGACCCAGAGTTTCAACTTATTCCAATTTGTGTTGTAGCATATACATGGACTAAATCATTTTTACTGTTCCATGCAAGCTCTAAGGAATATTAGAAATAATGTAAAAATAAATAAAATATTTGGAATAATTTTCCTACAGTTTTAAGTGATCTGTATAAATTAAGTTCATTATCCTTAGATCTAGATTCCAGACACCCACATTTTAAAATCTGTATTAAGAACATGGGTGTGAAAAATGAACACGCAGGTTTGAAAAACAGCCTATGCCTCCAGCCCAAGAATTCTAGTCTCTACATTTACCGGTACACCCCTGCCTCTCAGCTTAGGGAGATGAGCAGAGTGCCTTTTGGTTTTGTCAATGCTGATAATCAGGAGACGCTCTGCGCATTAGAGAACTAGAACTCAAGAAGCTGAACTGATTTTTTTTTTTTTTCTAAATGAGGTGAACAAGCTTCTCTACGATCTCTCACGTAAGCCTACTACAAATTTTTGTCTTGACCTTTCCAGTTAATTCAAAACAAAGCCAGAACTTCAGAGAGACCCACCAGTCAGAATATTTTGTTCTATACAAGTTCACAGCCAGCAAGTCCAAATTTTAGCTTTTTTTTCTTTTTTGTGAAGAAAACCATACCTCAGTCTAAGAACAGGGTGATATTCTATTACTACAAAAGGATTTTAGAATAGTTCAGAGAACAGTAGAAGATATTGCAAAGATCTTAAAGGTATATTAAAGTAAGATTAAGTATTAAGAAATGAAGTCTCACTACATTTACCCCTTTGTAACCTGAGCTACAATAGCAATACATACCACTGCCTGATGGGTAAATTGTAAGTAACTTCTTGCCAGTGTCTCTGAGCTTCATAATCTCCATACATAGGTGGTTTTCCCGCACCTAAAAAGAGATGACAGAGTATTCGTGAATTTATTCTGTTTAAGCAGATTGCTTTTCCTCCAGATATGTATTTGCATATTAATATATTACTAATTTTATTCTCCATTCCTCTCTAATATTTGAGAGCCAAATAGAGATCTCATCTTCTATGCAGTCTAACAGGCAGGGGAAAAAAGAAAAAAAAAAAGTTATGCGTTCTTTTGGCTTTCTGGATATTTCTGCAATAAGCATTTATCAAGATATTCCACTATGAAGAATTGCTTCCTCATCTGACAAAAAAAATCATTTCCAAGTGTAGATGAAAAATGTGGCACCCTCTCTGAAATAAGAAAATGTACATAACAGACATCTTACACTGATGTTGTATGAATTACTTCACTTTTTAGTATATAAAAATTGACAATGTTCTCACTCGTGTTTCAGCCGTGTCATGGTACCTTGCTATTAAAAGTAACAACTAGCCTTATTTCTACTTACAACGAGGACCTGCTGCAAGTCACCCCAGTTCCTACCCCTTTCTTCTGCTGCCTGCTTTGCAATGCTAGCAAGAACACTGCACCTGCCCCTTTCCCCATGATTCTTAACAAAGAGTTAAGATGAACTGTTTACTCAATCAGGTCATTCAGTACACAGAATAGGTTCAGAAGAATTTTTTCCTATAATCTCCAAAGCTTCCTAAATAATAACTGCTCCATTTTGTTTTAAAGAAATTCTCTCATACACATTTTTCAACTGAGTGATTGTTATGTAGCAATTCTGCAAAGTGAATTATGTTAAAGGACACTTTTCACGCATGCATACATAAGTCTCTCGGGAAACTAAAATCTTTTTTCCCACAGAAAAAAAAGCTTTATCAATGCAAATACTTCAGATGCCTACTCATAAACAATTCCCTCAACGTAAGCCTAACTCTGATAATGGCACTATGTTAAGCAACTTTATCACAGAGTTTATTTACTTCTATTAACCTGTGCTTATTGAGAACAGAAACTGGACTGATAGTACTTCCAGTAAAATATTGACACCAGCCAGACAGAGATTTAAGAGTTTCTTTAAAATATAGGAAAGCCATCTATATTTTTTTCACATGATCTATGTTTGTGGGAGTCACACAAGCTCAGATATGTACTATTTATTCCAGGGTAGTGAACAGACTACTTTAACTAATTTATTCCTGGGTAGTAGAGAGAGTAGATTATCTCCACTACATGACACATTCAACTAAAAGTTTCCCAAATAAGTGTGGTCACTGGAGAATAGGAGTTTTATCAGCGTCCATTTTGTAGCTATAAATCTAGTGGAACAAAGAACCTGTCATAGGATTACTGAAATACAAAAAATAGGCATTATTCAAATTTTAGAATGTGCGTATATGTGTGTGTATATATACACAAACATATATAAACACATACGTTTTATTTGTTATAATAATAATTTCTTATAGCTTCTCTCTCCTTAAAAAAAAAAATTGACTTCAGAATTATCAAAAAAGAGATCTTAATCCAAAAGTTCAATTACTAAAAGCCAAATACAGAGACTGATCACACATCAGTCAGTTTGAGACTGCAGATTTAGCTTCTGCCTACAGCAAACATCAAGTATACAGCCAAACAGCATTCAGAATTAACAGAAATTGAGTATTTTCTTTTTAAAGGGTCACAAATACTTTAAATTTAGAATGGTTTTATTCAGTTTTATTGTTACCTGGAAATAGACATTTTTAAGGGTCTGAAGCTGCCTTTCAAGACAAGTATTTAGCTCCTACTCATTTAGCAGTTTAGCAATGCATCAAAAAAAATTATGCATTAACCTACAAAGCCAAATTTGTCCTCAATAATTCTCCAAGACCAACTAACCTAAGGTCATCAAAACTAGGTATTAGTTACCTGCTTTCTCACCATTGTGACCCTAATTCCAGAGGCAGATCCAAAAGCATGCTAGATGGCAAGCAACAGCAGAATGGAATCGATACAGTGATCCAAGACCATACAGTAAGGGAGAATTAACCTCCTTACTTCTGGCCATCCATGCCACACGTGGTTTCAAAGTATGCCGAATCAGCATTTCTACCAGAATCTTCTTCAGAGAACGATGACTACTTCTAATCCTCGGCTCAAGTCTACTGCACTGAGCAGCAGTGAAAGCAAAACATCAGGAATATGTCAGTTTAAACATTACCCTGCCCTTTTTTTTTCCTTGCTCCTGTCATTGAAGGTTTATTACATTTGAAGGAAGTAAAAATGAAATAAAAAAATTCCAGTGTCTTTCTAACATTCAGGTTTGTCTTTTTTCAGCCATCCAATGCTCAAAGTTAAGCACATGGTTTAATAATCTGCCAGATTGGATCAGACTCAGCTTTACCTATTCCAAAAGAAGTTATACAATCATTGTGTAGGAAACAAGATTTAAAAAATGTTATTTTAGTTCAGGCATTATTTTAAGATTCTCTTTCAGAATCTTGATTGGTTTAAAATTAAACCAACTTAAAAAAAATCTAGTTTGCAATGTAATTGTAAACACTTGCAGTGCAACAGAAATTTAGTATTGTGTGGCAAAAGACAGGGTGTTTGTTTTTCTGCCTATAGGTGGGGGAAAAAAAAAAGCGCGCCTTGGTTACCTACAGAACAGATCTTTTATTATGGCATTTTCAGAAAACAAATTCAAAATAAAACAATTGTGTAAAAGAAATATGCATGCAACTTATCTCCAAGCAAATGAAACCCAGGAGTTACCAGCTTAAAAATCACTAGAATACTACTGAACAGTTCCGAGGACTGAGGGGATGAGGTTCCCAATTGCCTTAACAGAAAACCAGAGTTGAATTTGACATAGCTTGTCATTTTTTTAGCTGATGCGGATTGAAAGTAATGGTCTGTTTTCAAAAAAAAAGAAAAAAATTGCAGAGACCAAGCTTTGTGCAAGCTTATGCTAAGCATAGGAATGGCATTGAGAGGTTTGGAAAAAAACCTGCTAGTTCTTTGCAAGCATTATGAGACTGGGAAGAGAAAAACTCATCTATTAAAAGAGTATAGCTCTAGTTCATGCTGTAAACAATCTTAAGGAAGTATAGCTACAAGGCAGAGTGTAATCGCTCAATTGACATCTCCTTTACACCGTCTTCATTATCACTAGTACAGTTTTATCTAAATATAAATTAAGGCTATACCTGTTATAGAACTTAAAGGACAAGATTAAACAAATGTACAATTTGATTCCAATAATATTGTACAGCTACTGAAACAACAAAGGCATAGGTGCGAACAGCGAGCTGTTCTTTGGCTCCTCCTAAAACATTACTTACCGTCACCCTCCCACCTCCCAAAAAAAAGTTGTGGGGTTCTTTTTCAGTGTTTTCTTCTAAGTGGCTGTGATGTTAACCATTGCACAAGTCAGAAAAATAAGAACAAGCTATTATACAAACCTTCAGGAAATAGAGAGGCACTAAAAGCTGACAATACTTGAAATAACACATTGCTTCCTATTTATGATTTTACATGCAAGATTATTTTAATTTATCACAAGCTCCATAATTCACCTTCACGTGGTTATTTTACAGACTGTGAATATGTATTACCTGAATAAGAACCAAGTGATACAGTCCAGCGTACAGTAAGTCCTAGTAAAACAGTAATTGTCATTAAGCTCCACTTCTCCATAGCTGGTCTTTGTAACAAGCCAAAAGGTACCTGAAAAAAACCACCATAAACATTGCTACAATACTGTCCATGGTTTTGCTCCTTAGGCGTTTAGTGGCACTACTGATAGTCCCAGTTTTCTCCCCACCCAGAAGCATTCTGTGACTGTCTTGTGTCTGGAAGCACGCTGCAATCAGGAGGGGTTTTCAGTACAAGAGAATTTCTAACCATGAAGCCAAACGCTGCCCCAAAGCAATTTCTCCCACTTCAGAGCTAGAAGCTGAAAGACATCTGACAGAATGCATAAAACCAGCAACAAGAAGGGTAAAAGATTTCAAACCACTTGAGAGCTCAAATATCAGATCAACACTACACTGTACATACACGTACATACTTAAGCATCACCTTAATAAGCTCCACATAATTTGTTATGCAAACATGTAGCATGTTTTACCTGTAAGTGACAGGAGAAGATTCTCCAAGAGACCAATAGAAAAAATTGTATTGGTGGTCAAAATAGTCACACCAACCAGGTATGTTAAGTAGCTCACAAACTAATACTTGCCACTGAAGAAGAAAAACCTCTTCAAAGAAGTCTATAAAAACTCCTAGATTAAAAACTCACTAGGAAAAAAATGGATTGTTAACAAGCACACAATTTTAAAAAGTTAGTAAATGTGTTAAGTTAATGTCACTTATTTTATTGATTAAGAACACCATAGCCAAATTATGCAAAGTGCAGATCTGGAATAGGTTTCTCTGTTGGTTTAAACATATTCAACAATGATTTAAAAGTTAGCTGTGTGCTGGCAGGTCTTGCGCTGGACCAGGCATTGTCTGTTCTCCTGCAGCCATTATAAAAGCACAGAGTCCATCATAAACTCTGCATGACGTGTTCTAACTAATTCCACAGAAATACACACAGTCATGAGCTAGTACCTAATAAAAAAATGAAATGCATACTGCCAACCTAGGAATGCAAAGATCTGGCATTAATGATCAAAAATCCCTGATCTGAATCTTACTTCAGTCTCCTCGATATTCAAAAAGGGGCTTGAGATTGTACTTCTCCCTTCCCAAGCATAAGCACGCTATCTCCCTCTCCCTCGAGGATACACTAGATGAAGCCTACCAGGCTCAAGAGATCTTCTGCATCCTTCTACCCAAAAAGATAGAAGGATTGATCTCCCACCAAGCTTGCTTGACCATAGTAAGGAACCAGTAACAATAAGAAACATTGCTAGACCTGTCAAATTAAAAGCCACATGCATCCAACTCAAAAAAAAAAAATTTTAAAAAAAAATCAAAAAACAGGAAAGTAACAACATTGCCCTGTGCAAAAAAAACACTAACTATAGAATATGCAAACTTTGACCCAGAGAATCAAAAATATTTTAGTCTGAGTTAGAAAAAAATTGAAGAAACTACTCCAGTCTTGACAGTGAGAAACAGCAGTAAATCCAAAGGCTATACTGCCAAATCAGCAGCAGTAGCACCATTCCCTCCACAGTCAGCAACAGATACATTACAGAAGAGTAGATGAGCCTGGGCACAACTGCCAAAGAATTTCCTTGCAGAAGCAGCATCATTCGATTTAAGTGAGTTTAATACACTTGCCACTGCCAAAAAAAAAAAAAAAACACAAAAAAAATACCACACAGCAGTAGTACTGAACTGGTGTTTTAGTAACAGACAAGTAACATCCAAGACATATTTAGGTTATTCTGCTCAAATTAAATCCATATTTATTCACTACTGACAGAAAGGTATGACTCAATGCCACCACCAAGGAAAAGAAAAGTTACTTTAACAATATAAATCTATGACAGAAGTAGATCACCATCTATAGGTAGAAACATGAATACTTGATACTTGCATGCTTTCAATGCTACACCTGTGCCTAAACTACAGGACAGGCACATTTATCTAAATAAAAGATACTGAGGTTGATTTTGTAGATAATTTTACCCTAAGTGAACTCTTGTGCTTCCTAAACTTGGGTCCAATACGACCAGAGTACTATATGACTCCCAAAAGTCAAATGTCACAAGCCTGGCCTTTCCCATCTATAAAATACTTACATCCTTTCTTACTTACTCCTTTCTACCTCCAGTTAGAACAATTACTAATTAATTACACCTCCTACGCAATGCCAGTCTCACCTGCAGACTGACTGCCCCATCTCTGCTGCTCTCATTTACTTCTGCCATTCCCTACATTTCGAGTAACTGGCATTTTCTGGGGTACTAAATTTATTCTTTCTCTCCCCTCAAAACCAGTTCTTAAAATATTCCTGCCTACTTCCTTTTCATCTTTAATAGTTATTCCAAACCTCCTAAAACAAAAGCCATGCTTTTGTGAGATTCTAAATCTAATTGTTGCTGTCTCATGGGTAACAGTGTGAAACAAATAAGACGAAAAAGATTATAAAGCTGGTTTGGTCAGTCTCAAACTTTTTCTCTTCTGACTCTGGACGAGCAACACTAGAGGGTCTCAAGTGAGATGGCACCGATAAGTATGGCTCAAAAACCCACCACCCTTCCACGCTGCCTACTGTGAAGATTCAGACACATGGTACAGGTGCGATCCAGCCAGTCCCTGCCAAAGGGAGCTTAGAGAACTCAGTCATAGACGTACGACCCTTACTATAACTCTTTGTTTTAAAAGGGATGTCAGCACCCGTTCGTTCCTCAGAAATGCAAACGCTAAGTTAAGAATTTCGTTTGCTAAAGTAATCGCCGTCTATAAGCCTACTGCTTCCTTACTCCTTGTCAGAAGACGTGGTTATGTCTCAGCTTTCCTCACTCCCCCCCGGTCCATTCCAGCCGGTTC